CCCCGACCTGGACCCAGGTCTGGTGAGCTCCAGGTCTCAGCCAATGGGCTCCGATCAGAACAGCCAGGAGGAGGAGTCACAGGGATCCCAGAGCGCTCCACGTGCAGGAGCAGCTTTGGACCTTTCAGTCTTTCACATAATGATATAACTGTTCAATAAACAAGGTTGTTGTTTTACAGACATTGTTATCAGCTCGTCTCCAATAATCTAACGTCCAAACACAGCAGGAGGTGAGCGCGAGCAGCGACCTCCAGGAAAACGAAGGCCACCTGTGACATCAGGGCGGCTGCATCCATCTTTAATGGGCTCTGTGGGTAAAAGTTGTGAGTCCAGGCGAAGCCTGCTTTGATGCTCGCTCTCTCTGCTCGTCATTCATCGGCGAGCCCGCGTCACCATCTCTCCTGCTCCGGGGAGCCACCCACACCAATCAGCAGACGGCGTATGATCCTCACACACTCACCTACGCCATATAGTGCAGCTGACTGCAGGCTGAAAGCACCATATTGAGTGTGTGTGTGTGTGTGTGTGTGTGTGTGTGTGTACACCAAGTCCAGAAGGCCCTTGAAATATGCACAGCAGTCCTATGCATAATACATGGGCACAGCAGGAAGAGAGAACTTGTGAGCAGAGTGGATCTCCACCTCTCCATCTCTCCACTCCACCTCTCTCCATCACTGCTGCTGCTGTGCATATGTTTTAAATAACAAGCGTCTCTCAGGGTCGTTTGTGGGTCAGAAATGATGATGGAGGGAATGCACGAGGGCTGCAGAGGTAGACGAGAGATGGATGGCAGCAGCGGAGGGAATGAGGTGAGACTGCGCGGTCACAAAGACACACACACGCATTTTTATGCTTGGCAGGAGAAGAAACAGGATATGAAGAGAAAGGAGGCGAATGATTCACTGTTTTCAGTCAGCTGAGACCGAAAGCAGCCAGCAGCTTCAGCAGAAACACCGACTGTCAGGAGGTCAGACAGGCTGCAGCCGCCGCGGGACGCCGAGCGCCGCTTTACTCGTTTACCTCCAGAAAGCTCCTGCAGGACAGCACGAGCTCTCAGAGCCTTCCAGCCACCGCCGAGGAGCCTGGTGCAAGAATTACAAATGCAGAGTGACCCGTTTCTAGACCGTCTGCAAAAGCTGCCTGAGCTCTTCTGGTTACAATCAGAGCTGCAGATACGCTTTCAAACAACTCCATGAATTTAACTTAAAACACTGTTCAAATTATGCACAACAACAAAAGTAAAACCATCTCCAGCTCCTCAAATCATCCTCTCCAGTGTCACCTGACCCAGGAGACGTCACCTTCCTGCTCTCTGAGATTTCTATGATGTGCCTCTGCGCTGTGCGGTGTTCATGGACCCGTGTGTGCAGATACACACATGTGATCAGGCAGGTAAACACGAGTGGCCCACCTGAGTCTGTGATCACTGTGTGGGTGACTCTCTTTGGGTGGAGCCAAAGTGTAAAACTCTTCATGGACACGAGTAATCACTTAGCACGTCACCGTGGAAACCAAGACAACAAAGACTTCATCAGGATCTTTTCCTAAACTCAGCCGCACTCCTTGGTTTTAGTTAATAACGAGTTTAAAAATGCTAAAAATAAAAACGTGAAAGTCTGCCACGTGTATGACTTCAAGCAAAATGATTTGCTGCTCCACCCACTCCTCCAACCTGATGGTGCCGACCTTTTTCACCGTTTCAAACAGGAAACTATTAACTTTGTGTACAATGAAAAGAATCAGCACAAATCAGAGCAACGAAATCAGCAGATTAACTGTGACAATTTCTCAGGTTAGTGCAGAGTTGAAGACGACACCGCGCAGGTGGAGGAGAACGTCAGCTCCACCCACACGTAAACGTCCCGTTTCACGCCGAGCGATGCTCCGCTCACAAACTAAAAGGACTCACAATCAGCTGTTTGAGGCCGTTGAAGGACTGATCCACGAAGTTGGCTGTGAGGACCTGACGCTTCGCGGCCGCCGCCTCTCCCAGAAAACGAAGCATTAGGTCCTTGACGGCGTCGCCCTGTTTTTAAAAACACAGAAATTCAACATCATCCAAAAGCAACATGACAGAAACGTCCTCGCAGTCACCTGAACACGAGCATGGGCGGGTTTACTGCTGAGGGATCAGAGTTCCTACCTGCAGGTTGTCAAACTTGAGTCCTGGCATGGTCAGTCTGCTGCTCTCCAAGTAGGCGGGGCCGTACTGCTGCGTTGCTACGGAGATTAGCACCTTCCTGGTCTCCTCGCACGGCAGCCAGGCGTCGTGGCGCCTGTCTACCTCGTTCAGGCTCAGCGCCGTCGCAAACGCGTCGTCGCTGCCTGAAAACAGCTGGTTGAAGGGCTGTGGTGGGACAGCTGGAGCTGAGGTGGGGGCGGAGCCTGGAGCCGAGGCTGTTTGAGGTGTGGGTGGCTGGAGCTTGGGGGATGGTTCAGCAGGGGCGAACGCTGAGCTCGGTGTGGGAGCGCCAGAGTCCAGGATCCCTCCGGGGGTAGAGATAGAGGAGGAGGTGGATGAGAGCTTGTGCTCGGGTGCTTCGGCGGAGCCTGGAGGGATCTCAGCATTGGGGTTGGACACGGAGATGAAGGAGGAGGGGGCGGTAAAGGAGTCGAAGAAGTCGGACGCCGGGTTGGTCTGTCCGTTATCTGTGAAGAACTTGCTGAGGCTCGGGCTGGGCTGGCACACAAGCGCCCCCGCCATCTTACTGGGCGTCACGGTGTCTTCGCCGCCGCCCATGCTGAAGCTGGGCGACTTGATGAGGGTGGGCTGGAAGCCGTCGGGCACTAAAGACTTGGGCTGGGTGCCCTGGCTGAATATGGTGCATACGGGGACAGGCTCGTCCTTTGGTTTGGTCGCTCTGGTGATCTCCGGCGCCGCTTCCTCGCTGCGACTGTCAGACAGACTCTTCACGTCACCCGGGGAAACGGCGCTGGTCGCCACTTCCTCTGGTTTTTCCTGCGAGCCTCCGTCCTCCTGCTCCTCCACCGAAACTTTAATCTCAGTCATATTCTGTCCAATCTCGCTCTGCTCCTCTTGGTTTCCCTCCACCGCGTTCTCCTCCTCCTCCTCGCCTCCATCCAGGAGGGAATCGATGGGCACCACGTCATCCTCCTCGCTGTTATTGGGCGAATCAGAAATCATGACGCTCTCCATCATCTGGTCGTTGAGCTTGTCCATGAGGCTCTCTGAGGGCGTGGCGCTGCTGTCCTCCTGTGGTGTGGCAAAGTCCCGACCTAGATCGATGCTGTCCTCCTGGGGCAGACCACCGTCTGTGGGCGGAGTCTGACCTGTGGTCGCCTCAGGAGGGGCCGGAGCCGAGACTTCCTGGTTTACATCCTCTACGGCGATGTCCAAGGAGACCGGCCGCTGGGCGTGAGCTTCCCCGCTGTCCATCTCACTGCTCTGCACACAGAAACACACAAACACATGAACCAACAATTCCTCTCATTGTTGTGTGGCGTTCCTGTGAAGCAAGAACACTCATTTCCTGTCATTCTTTATTGTTTTCAAATTTTATTACAGGTCTCTGCGTCACGGGACAGAAACATCAGGTGAAAGAGGACAAAAATGTCCAGTTATGTGTAATTTATGCCTGTAGAGGAAAACTACAAGCTGGAAACAAGTAGAAAGATGTTTTTAGGGTTGGTGACATCGTCTCACTGTTGGTGTAACGTGAACTGTAAAACTAAACTTTCAGAAAGTTTGACTGTCAAAACGGTGTAAAAGACAACAAAAGAGATTTAGTCATTAAGACTCCAAATTTTTGGGACAACTTTAAACTTTCAAAGATGTTTAAAGAATAAAGTGAGAGCTGGGACTGCAAAGCAGGTGTGCCAACGGCAGGAAAAAAAATTCCACCCTCACCGCTTCCACAGGAATTAAGAGGATGAGACGCAGGGAAACATTGCTAATCAAATGCATTTATTAACTGATCATCATCAGGGTGAGCACCTCTGTAAAACGAGAAGTTTGGAGGTCTGGAGCACTAAGATGCGTTCACGCAATGACACAATCGTCTCAGGAGTGGACGGCCCAGCAAATTCACCCCGAGGTCAGACCCTGCGATGCTCAGGGAACCAGAAAAAGCTGCATCTGAACAAAACACAAGACCTCTGGAACAAACGAGACCAAAGTGCTGCTCAAAGAGCTGTGCATGAACGAATGCTGCAAACCTCAACGACTGAAAGAAGAGCGGGCCAAAGCTCGCCCACAGTGATGACACAGACCGATCACCGCAGGTGTTTATTTAAAAGTAGTTACTGCGTCCTGATATTTTGACTGTAGGATCTGTAACCTCTGAGGGTGTTTGAGGCTACCTCGATTAAACCGTGGTTAAACGTGTGATTGCAGTGACCTCTGGGCCAGCACAGCTTGGTTTCTGCCCGTCAGCTCTTTAAACAGCCTCCAGGAAGCCTCTGGTGTGGCTTATTTTGAATGTCAGATACCTGAAATCAGCATGAATCCCACTTCCTGTAGTCTCGGCGCTTCCTGTAACTGTAAACACAGTATGCTATCTCCGTCTCTGTCAGCACTGAGCTGCAGCACCAGAGCTGCTCGGCCTTTTATTCACGATTACACAGGAGCCGGTACTCGGATTACCAAGTGGGTAAAACCGGTTACTGGGTCTGTCTGTCATGCTAGTGCTACTTTAGCCAGCTAGCTCAGGTTAGCCAGCCGAGCCGCTAACCGTCAAATGCCGCTAACAGTGTTTTAAAACAGCGCAGAGCGTCTTCAGCTGCTCCGCTGCCGCTAACATCACCGCACAAACAGCCGCAAACGCATAAAAGAGCAGGAAGAGAAGCAGGACGGACTGTTTACTTACCGTACTGCAACCTGACAGACGCGCCTGTAACACGCATGCGCCACACAGTACAGCTACTAGTACGGTGCGTCAGAGAGGACACGTTTCATGTTTGCTATTCCGGATCTTCTTCTACGTTGTTTTTAAAGCGTAAGTGTCGTCACACGGCCGTCGTTGCGCATGCTAACCGTACGTTTCAGTTTTAAATCGCGGAAGTGAGGCGCTGTGTTGTGTTTGGAGCAGAAAGGAGCGCAGAGGCGCTTTCTGAGCGAAGCCTTTCATTAAAAGAATCAAACCGCGCAGAGGACGCAGCGCAGATGGAGGACGACGCTCCCGTCATTTACGGGCTCGAGTTTCAGGTGCTGCTGCTTCACTGCGGCTCCATTCATTCCCGTCGAGCTGTCTGACAGCTGCCTCTGCGCTGGAATCTTGTATGTAATCCTTACTCTGTACTTCGTTACTACGCAGGCTCGAGCTCTGACGGCGCAGACAGCTGAGACCGACGCTGTTCGCTTCCTCGTGGGCACGCAGTCACTCAAGTTTGACAACCAGGTGAGAAGCACCTGTCCACAGGTGACGGAGAGCTCGGGATTAGGCGAGATCATGTAAATACTAAAAAACAGAGACCCGGGGGAGGCGTGGAAACATCACAGCAAAAACACTCCAGTAATTTTTAATATTCGTACAGTCCCCAAATATATGGTAGCGGTGTGCTGCCTCCGAGCCACAGAGCCTCCATCATCATAGTGCGCCTTTGGAGCTGGGGTAATAAAACACGGTAGGAATTTTCCAGCACACCTTTCCTTCCACACCTGTGATTCCTGGTTTTCCAATGAAATAAACAAATGTGTTGCCATTCTTCCTCTGTGGTCACTGCACCCCTCTTTCCCCCATCTTTTTTCCTTTATGGACTTCATTGAACGCTTGTTGAAGTAATGGAGACTTTTGGATACTTGTGAGATTACACCTTTTTGGTTTCTGACTTATAAGCATTTATAAAGATAAACGGCCTCGCTGTAGTGGTTCTTTGAGTTTTAATGTTTTGAGTATAGAAGTTTCTTAACTGAGCAGCAGCCAGACTCCTGCCAGACAAAGACACAAACTGATGGAAAAAGAAACTTGGAGAAATTAATTTTATTCATCACTAAATCACAGCTAAGATTTAAATTTCCTCCCACTTTGCGACTTTAACGGGTTTCCTGCTTATAATGGGCCTTTAAAGCTGATTACACAAATAACCATGTAAATAAGGAGTGTGTTTATTTTAGTAAAAACAAAGAAATACACCTTTTAGACCCTGAGTCATCTCAAGTCCAGACCCCAGCCACCTCCTCCCACTCATCTGGGGGAGCACCGAGGTGTCTGGGTCCGCCTCAGGGCTCCTCACAGTAGGACGTTAATGAAACGGCCCGCCCAGGAGACGTCCTGGTCTCAGTGTGGAGGAGCAGCGGCTCTGCTCTGAGCTCCGGAACTCCTTACCTGATCTCTAAGGGAGAGGCAGCCGCCCTTCAGAGGAAGCTCCTTTTGCCTGCTTGTGTTCACAGTCTTGTTCCTTTGGTTCCTGCTCTGCTTCTTTCTCCTCCGTGAAGCCCACCTTACCGTGCAGAGGGGTGTGTGTGTCCCAGTGTTGTCAGGGTGCCTTTGTCCTCTGTTAGGGTCTCACAGGACAGAACAATGCTTCTGAACTGTGCCTGTACATACATATGAGAATTTAAACATTCATTCAAATGAAGTTTAATGAGGTTTAATGCAGGGGTGTCCAACTCCAGTCCTCAAGAGCTGCTGTCCTGCCATCAAGGATGCATCTGAAAGCTGCAGGACTGGAGGTGGATCCCTGGTTTGATGTGTTTGAAAGTACTCAGCAGGTTCAAAGGAAAGGACGCAGGAAATCAAAGTTCAGTGTCTCTACAGACCTCCAAACCAGGGGTCAGAGGCCAGATATGTAAAGTAATCAGGACTTTCTGTGTTAGCATCCTCAGAGACGCTGTGTTACAGGCAGCTGAAGGCTTTTATTCACATGGTTTATGAGTTTGTAACCATGTTATAGACTCTATATTCAGCTTTAAAGATATTGATGATTAATTATGTGTTCAATGGTTATATTTAGAATTAATATCAGCTCCTCTCCACATGGACGTCTGAACTGTTTGTGTGTTTTCTCTGTGAAAATGTGTGTGTGTGTGTGGTGCAGGAAGAATGAGAGCATGCATGCACATCTTGCAGAGGTCATTACGGAGACAGATGACAGAAACAGTTGGCTCTAAACGGGGGAGAAATAATTAGCTGTGTGAAAGCGAGGGAGAGATTTGTGCCTTGAATAAGCGAGCCTGTTTCCTGGCAGACGTCAGTGTGAAAACAGTCTGGCACCGAGCGCAGACGCGCTGCAGTCCAAGTCTTGCTTAGCGAGGCTAACGCGCAGCTCGTCGGGAACGGTGACAACGCGTCCCGGTCGATCTGCGGGATTTCTTATTGCATTCCCGAGCGCCGTCCTCCTAAACCTGCTGCAGATTTCAGTCGTGCCGCTCGTTTGTTCAGCGGGCTGTTTGCTTTAAAGGCCGACGGTGAGACGTGTCAGTCCCGATGACATCACAGGACGGTCAGCTGATGCCAGCTTTACCTCCATACCGTGAACATGTTCCAGGACCTCCGGCTACAGACGGGGGGGGGGCTCCAGATTTGTAATTATTTTTCCGGCATCATAACTTCACACATGTAGCAGATCTCCGCGTGACATGAAACAAAACTGCGACCAGATCAGTTTTCACAGTCAGACTAAATCACCACTAAAATCCTGCATGGCTTCATGAAAGATCAGCTGATTCTGGTGGAAGGACTGACTGGTGTAACTGGTGTGTCGCGCTGCAGGGCTGCGGGCCTTGTTCTAAAGTCTTTGTTTCCTGGGTTTCTGGGGGGGGGGGGGGGGGCATTGAATCAGGAGCGCGGTGGTCGTCAGCACCGGTTCGCTCGGTTTGCTTTGAACTCCCATGAAAACCATTTTTCCGATTGCCATTTCAGCCCCGACAGCTCGTGCTACACCCGTAAGCCCGCTGCCCTCTCCACCTCCCATTAAGCGTAGTGCGGAGTGGAAGTATCTCCACACGCCGAGCCCCTCTCAGATCCCTCAGAGACCAGTCGCTGCGGTGACAGATCCGCCGGCGTGGCATTTAAGGCCGCTAACGAGATAAAGCGCCCGAGCTTGGCACCTCTCGCCCGCTCGCTGCTCCTCCTGCTTACTGTCATCAGTGCGGCTAAAGAGCTTTGCTGCAGGAGCCCGTGACGCGGGGTCCACGAGCCTGTATTTTACCAGCTCCTCCTCCTCTTCCATTGGCACATAATTAAAAGCGCTGGGCCGGCTGCCCGAGCGGCTGAAGGCTGTGAGTCACTCTCCAGGCTAGGAAGAACGGGGGATAAATCACCTGGGGGAGGAGGGCCGGGACTTCTGTCTCCTCTCTCACCTAGGTTCATTGGGGGGAAAGGGGGGGGGGGGGGGTAGACCCTATTACCGGGCCCTCCAATTACCCTGTCCCGCCGGCCTGAATTTATTTGTACTGCTCCCCCACCGCCATAAAATTATAACTTTGCCTAATAATTTTTTGCTCGTCGCAGTCCAACTCAAGGTTAATAGCCGCCGAGCTGACTTTGAGGAGGCTGAAGGATGCTGCCACTCCTCCTCCACCTCCTCACACCTCCTGCTTTCATCCTCTTGTTCAGCCTGTAAAAGTAGTGCAGGCGAGGGGAGTGGAAGTGCCGGGAAGGAGTTATTGTCCAGCGCAACCCCATTAACGATCCCCCGAGGTGCCGTAAGTGTCTTTCTTATGGGAGAAACCTCCATTAATTGTCTGATCAAACCTTGAGACCCTCACTTTTTTACTGCGGCGCGGGCCCTGAACCGCATTCAATCGAGGACCCTCTCAGAATAGATTTCCATCTAATGAAAGGAGCGCAGCGAGGAGGAGTTTCCATTAACTTCTCCTGGATAAAACTTTGGCTTGTTTGTTGAACTCGTGCGCTGTAAAACACTCAGCGGCGTTTTCAAGTGCGCTCCACGATTACTCCAGCTCACAGCGAAGGCACTGCGACTCGTGCCGGAGAGCCTCGCTGGGACGCCGAGCCGGCTGCACGCTGGCACAAAAGCTGGTGAAAGGAGGCGGACATTTGAAGGACGTTAAACGCAAACTCTTTATGCAAGAATTCACTTCTCATTTCACGGTGAAAAGTGCAGGGTCAGCAGCACGTTACCCCCAGAATCAGCTGGTTTCATAGTAACTTTAGCCGCGGCACATTTTACCTTCAAACTATCAGTTGTTACAGAATTACACACGTGGGTCCAAATTTGGTGCTTTTTGATAGTTTTTCCAGCATTTTTGGTCCATTGTAGCTCCATAAGTACAGGAGACGTCCACGTTACGCCTTCGCGGCTGGAAACATAAAGTCTGTTAAAGTTGGAGCCAAATCAGTTTAACATCCATCCTCAGAGATAAAAATCTGCTGTCGCTGATTCGCTCTGGATCAGAATCATTTTCCTTAAATTCTTTCTGCTGAAAAATGGAAAATGAAACAATATTTTCTTATTTGTTAAGACGATTTTAAAGTCTTCATTTCATGTCTGATAAAGTTCGCTCGCCGCCTGTTTAAGTAAAGAGAGGCGGATCATGAAATGGGCCAAGGTCTGTGAGATGAAGCTTTTGTAAGTAGAGCTCGGAGAAACTTTGTGAAGTTTCCTGAGGAAGATGGGAGAGTTTACAGTTCAGGTGCTGAAGATGGCGTCACAGACCTCCTGAAACGTCCACAGTGTCCACGGAGAAGGATGAGAGGGATGACACGTGTCATCTCATGTAGCAGCGCTGTGTAAAGAGAGCCAACGCCGCTGAGCCCTCATCGGTTGGCTTTCCTTCCCCGACGTCTCCAGCGTGAATCCAACAGCTCCTCTCACAGTGTCTTAATCGCTGCTTTGAAGGCCAAATCGAGATGAAGATCTTCAGCCGTGTGAAGTTTACGGGGTAAAAAAAGAAAAAACTGAACCAAAGCGACGTCTTCCTTGAAATTACTTTTACTGTCACATTAAAATAAAAGAGGAACTTTCTTCTTCTTCATTCGGAGGAATCAGAGGCGCTTTGAACTGCAGTCGGTGTGAGTGGAGGGAGTTGCACCGGGTGTTTTTCAGCCTCATCCTCAGCACATCTCTGCTTTTCTTTCAGATCCACATCATTGACTTTGATGATGAGAATAACATCATTAATAAGAACGTCCTTCTGCACCAAGCTGGGGAGATATGGCACATCGGCGCCAGTCCTGCAGATAAGGCTGTGCTTACCACCTGCTATAACAAAAGTGAGTCCCACTGTTTCCTTCTGTCTGTGGCTCCATTCGCTGCCTCTTTATGTTCCTCTTTTTTTCTGTGTGCATATATTACATCCTCCTCTTTTTATTTCCACTTCTTATGTCTAATGACCCTGTGCAGCCGCGCTGTCCTCACAGGCCTAACGTCAGCAGCTGCGTTATAAATCAGACTCTGATAGAATCGATACTAATCTGTGAACATGACGAGCCACGTGAGTCTCGCTGTGGCAGGATGAAGGTCACACAAACGTTTTGTTGATCTTTATTTACAGAGAGTCTGCTCGCACGGGCCTGCCGGTAACCGGTAAAATGAAAGGAGCCGAGCGGGCCTCGGCTCTCGTGACAGGAAATGCTGTTTTATTTAAATGAGTGCAAGTTTCCACTATGACGCACATCTGTAGGAGTCTGGGAGACCGACTGCTGCTGATTCCCGTTTCTACTCGATGTAGCAGCTGCTCAGCAGGTCGCAGTTTGTTCGCATTCTCCAGGAACGGCGACGCAGAAACCCCAGATCACCCAATCACAGTCTGTCACCACAGGACGCACCATCTAATCTTCATCAATAATCAATAATAAAGATGAATAATGTTTGAGTATTTTATCCATCAACTATATACTGAATGACTCGTTCACTTGCATTTAGTAGAAGCTTATATGAGGGAAACTGCTGATAAACGAAGCATCTTTGGCGTGAATCAGAAAAATCTGTGCTCAGAAAGACAAAAACCTGAAGTAGAAGATGAAGACCGATGTCTCCACAAACCCGACAACAAACAGAAGGAAAGATGTAGCAGACGCCTCAGGCAGCACGACACAGCGGGTAAAACCCACGGACCCAGCTTTAAACTGAAAACTGGAAGGACCAAGATCCCCTTCAATAAAAGGTTGCACGGGCGTTTCCCACCAGCAGCGAACCGTCCCAGTGAGCTGCCGTCGCTCTAAAAGGCTTTTTTACACAGTGAGCGAAAAAACTACACGAAATTCAGAATTTTTCAGATTCAAATTCGTCGTGAGGTGTACGCACACCGAAAGCGAGAATGCGCCGTGAATAAACCGGAGTGGACGAGAATCAGTGACGAGCTGATCCTGATGTTTCTGAATGACAAAAAAGAAGAAATGCATATTCTGGTTCGTCTTCTCAGGACCGGGCACAGCAGGGAGGAGTCGCTGGTGCAATCCCAGAGTCGTGCATGCTTCAGGATGTCCGCGGGGCAGTCGGGAATCCCTCCAGAGAGCCGACTGACCCGTAGCCATGTGTCTGAGGTCAAACAGGTTGCATGTTTCAGTCCCGGTGAGCGTTTTTGAGCTGTGAGCGCACTTGTTGCCAAATGCAGTGCTCTAATTGGTTAGATTTGAGACACCACATCATCGCTGTGAGTATCAAAAACATTTTTAACACACGAGTTGTGAGCTTTATATTAAGCACTATAATAAATATCACGTGACCCACAGCTAAGAGTGCATGAATCCAGCAGATGTTTTTGTAACACAGCCGTCGCCCCCTGGTGGCCGTTAACTTCCGGACACTACGTCGATCTTTTAGGATGGTTTTTGTTTGTTGCGTGAACCCAGACGTTACGTCGCTCGCTCGTTGGTGCCCGATGCCCTCTGGTCTCGGTCGCACTTCAAAACGAACGTTTGAGTCTCCCCGAGACGTTCGCCTGGATAAATAAAGGCTTTTAATAAAGCTAGACTGGTGGAGTTTGAGCTCCTCTGGAGGATAGAAGGCGGAGAGGAGACAGCCGTGTCAGGTGGGACTCGGGGCGGATCGCTCTGGGACTGGGTGTAGTCTCCACGCTCCCCCCTCCATCTACGTCTGTCTGTCAGCTGAGTTCTGCACGCTCGAGTTCACAGGATGACAGCCACGGTGGACGGCCCACCACGCGCCGCTGCCCACACCGACACCGGCGCAACCCAAATATATAGAAACACAACAGGCAGCACACTGCAGCGCATTAATGCAGGGCTTGCACAGAGCCCCGGCGTTTGCTCGGCCACTTAGTCCGAGCGCAGGCTCGTCTAAAACCACTCAGGAAATCTGTGGACTCGTGTCGCCATGCTTTTAATTTGACAAATAGGCCCCACGCCTGCCCACGCGCTGCCAATACGTACACCAAAAAGAAATGAGTCTTTCTCTCCCCGTGCTCTCCACCCGCAAACTTTTAGTCCAATTACTGTATGACTGTACTCTACTCTACATTTACTCTTCTGGTTCCAATTAGCAGCTCCAGCCCTGGCGTGGATGTGCCAAAATAACTCGTTTATTATGTGGATTAGGAAGAGAGTGTAGTCACATTAGTGCCTGTACATCTCACGCACACACTAACAAAGCTTATCCTTATGCTCCAGTCACTGGTTTAACCTGCTTAAGAAGCCACCGGGGATCGTTAACGGTTTCATTTATTAAGCAGTGATTCAGCTTGAAACTGGGTGACAATGAGGAAAAATAGAAATTCAAAAAACAAAAATTAGCAGCGCTTAGAGGTGGACTACTTTATCCACCTGGAATGTACTCTATGCACTATGTTTTTCATGCAACACTTTTTATTTCCAGAGTTTAATCAAAGTTGAAAGTTTGGCAAAATGTCTTAAAATATCCTGATTTAGATATCGGGGACTCGGACCACTGTCCCCACAGTATCAGTAAAACAAGAGCACCCTCCTCCCTAACACTGTGTGTGTGTGTGTGTGTGTGTGTGTGTGCAGCCAGCGACAGCAGGGTGGTGTCCTGCGCGGCCGTGTGGCGGATGCCCTCTGACTGGGAGACAGGAAACCACGAGTCACCTGACGAATCCGCCCACAACCCCCAAACCCTGGAGCTGCTCTGTCACCTAGACGACAGCACCCACGGCAACGCTGCCTGGTAGGTGTTGCCGGGGAACCGCTCAGAGTCGTGGCACAAATGATGCAAGAGCTCCTTTGATCCGCAGTAATGTGTTCGACTGCTTATTAGAAGACGGGGTGTTAATAATAGACTCCAGGACGACCTGCAGCTCACAGAGAGTCAAATAAACGACAAAAAACAGATTTCAAAACTCCTTTAAAGCTTTTCTCTCAATTCAAAATATCTTCAGCAAACTTTACTATCAAACGACACACTTGTGAGCAAAACTCTGCACGGAGCACAACGCAGACTTTCTAATGAAGGAGGAGGCTGACTTTGTAACAGAGCGGCTGCAGGCCGCTGTCAGGCCTAAGATCAACTAGGCCCCTAACCCAGCAGGAATGTGAGTGTAGAGCTGCAGGTTCGAGTCTCTCCGGGTGTTTGCACTGTCATAAATAATGTGATAATTTATGTGTCTTCATTTGATGCTCCCAAAGCTTTATTAGATATCACATATTTGAGAGTGAGGCAGGAAGTCATCATAATTACACTGTAACAAAGAGTCAGCCTTGGATTTTGTAGCTTTTGCCTTTCTGCAGATACTTGACATGAAGTTGAGGCTCAATAAAGCTAACACTGGTATGTTAGCACCAAGGTGCAACCTCTGCAGCTGAGCAGAGAAGCTCCAAAAGCTGCAGTTCCTCTAACGTGTGTGTCCTCCCGCCTGTTAGAAAGTCCTTAATTACAGATTAAAATGCTGTGTGTGTGTGTGTGTGTGTGTGTGTGTGTGTGTGTGTGTGTGTGTGTGTGTGTGAGTGTGTGTGTGTGTGTGTGTGTGTGTGTGTGTGTGTGTGTGGCAGAAAGAATTTCGAATGGCCGCCTGAGCGGCGCCCTATGAGTCCCGGTCCATTTCATTTCACTCAGGTTGTAGTCACGGCCCGATCCTTTTGTCTTACTGTCAGAGCTCCACGCCATAACTCAGAGCCCCACGAGAGCCAAAATCAATGCCCCCCCACCCCCCGCCTTTACTCCACTCTTCATTGTCCGCCTCATGATTGCGATCATTTTTAGAGGCACCAATCAGTTAGTGTGATGCATACTGCAGGTGTCTGCGAGGGAGAGATAAAGATGGAGGAGGTGAAGAAAACAGAAAGATGGAGGGTAGCTCAAGAAAGGAGACGAGACCGAGGAGATTGAATTTGTGCAGTTCTGTGTGTGTGTGTGTGAGTGTGTGTGTGTGTGTGTGTGTGTGTGTGTGTGTGTGTGTGTGTGTGTGTGTGTGTGTGTGTGTGTCAGAGGGCAGGTCAAGCAAGGCTGCTGGGTAGAGATTGATGTCTCTGAGCTCCACCATCTTAACACACCGAGAGCTGTAACCCTCACAAGGGCACCATACCGTGTGTGTGTGTGTTGTGGAGTCTGGATTCAATGCTGTGAAGCCTGTAGCCTATGCTGTGCACTATTGGCTTCTCTAGATGGATGGCTTTGGTCTGTTGCCCACCTCCTCCATCTCTCTGCTACACACACACACACACACACGCCTACCTTATCTAGTGTGGACTGTCATTCTGCACTGGTCAAGAGGGGACCAGTATTTCCAGTATTTTTAAGAAACAAAATGTAAAAAGGAAAATTTATTTTAGATCAAAAAAATACAAAATAACTGCAAATACAAAACCCCCCAAAACAAAAGTAACCCCGGCCCATGTTTACCCATCAGTCTTCCACAGATTGTGTTACAGCGCCACCTGCCTGTAGTCCTCATGTGATGTGAAGCTGTCACAAAGCTTGGTGGAAAGCTCTCCTTCCTTGCAGGCTCCATGTAGCTGCTAGCCTGCAAGGACAGAAGGAAGGTGGCTGCTGCTGCTAGCACTGCTGTTGTTAGCCACAGTGTGCCATGCAATGTGACATCTTGTATGTGCGTGGTGTTGTTCATTGCATCAGTGATGTGTAACAGCAGAACTTGCAGGAGTGCTCGTTTTGACCCCGTCCTGCTAACAGCAGCAGGGATTGCAAAGACGTCATTTCTTCAACAAGTTGTTTTGAACTTTTTTGTCATTTTAAGGACATTTTGACAAAACGAGCATGTGGGATTAATTTTGGCTCTTTATTAGTTTTATAAATGATGTGGATCATTTTGTCACAGACGACAAAGGTCAGATCACATTAGCTGAAACCATCTGATGGCCCACTGCTCCTCCATCGCTCACGCACTCCCCACTCTGCCACGGTGAGCCTCTGCTTGTGTTGGTACATAGACTGTAGTCAACAGCAGTTACGGATTGGCTATATATAAATGATATACATCAGTAAATAATATATATCTTTATGACCATTTAAAATATCGCTATAGAAAATTACACATTGCTGTAATTTCTGCCCTCTGGACAAATAAAGAGTGTCTGACAATGATTTAGATAAAAACTGATTGCAGCTTGTGGCAGGATTGTTCTCTGTGGATCATCCATGAGATATGTTTGATAAGTCATTTACAGCAGTTTAAATACAGGAAGTCACTGTTAGCCACGCCCTGTACAGCCCCACAGTAATTATTAATCTTTTCTCTAACTGTATATTTAGGCATCAATCACAGCTGTGCCTGATTTACTAAAATGAATTTGTTAAAAATTATTTAATCTCATTTAAAGCAGAACCAACACAGGACTGGAAGAATGTCCTCACTGTCGGACCTGTGTCTGTGGATTTGTAATGACACAGCAGTCCACGGTTAGATAGCAACGCAAGCACACACACACACACACACACACACACACACACACACACACACAGTGATAATGCTGGCAGCTTGCACCACCCATGCATGTTTGTGTGTGTAAGAAGACAAAGAGTAAAGAGATCTGAGTTCTTATGAGGCTTTTGTCTGTTTTGTGTGTTTGTTCACCTGCTTGTGTGTCCACTGTAGCGTGTCCGCATCCTTCATGTGTGCGTTTTCCGGTTGCCGGCAAGTCCCTCCACTCTCAGCAACAATAACACTTTTTTCTTCCCCAAATCCCCTCATTGTTTGGGTGGGCAAACATTCGAGCCTCTGCCCGTCGTGAAGCGTGCTCTGAATGGAAATATCGGCAAAGCACACCCAAAAAAATAAAAATAACGGGACTAAACAAACCTCGGGAAAAATCATGTTGTGTTTTTTTCCCCCCTCTTCCTGCACTTGGTTTCGATTGGGAGCCTTGCCAGATGAGTGCATCGATTCCCGTGGAGCCATTTGAGCCAATCACGGCCCTAGGAGGGAGCGGTAAAGCGCAAAAGGCAGCGAGGTTGATTTTCTAAAGTGGGGTGTGACAGGAGGGGGTAGGAGGTGTTTATGGGGTGATTGTGTGTGTTTGTGCGCACACACACGGATGCAGCCATGTGTGTTATTGTTGTGTGGTCGTTTGTAAGGCCCGATGGGCTCTGCTCTCTGTCTGCGTCCCAGCCCCGTCATGCAAAGAGTCTTTGTGAGGCTTATTTTCACTGTGAGCGTCGCCTCGTCTCAATCAATTGGACCCCCGACGTGGGCTGTCATGTGGACTATCAGCCGTGTATGTGTGTGTGCGCGTGTGTGTGTGTGTATGTGTGTGTGTGTGTGTGTGTGTGCAGGCGCTGGGCTGAAGCTTGTAGCTCTGCTGCTTTTTTCCCGTCTGTGACGGCAGCTGCTGCACAAAGAAATAATCTGTCTGCGGCTGAGCTCGCAGTTACCTTAAATGGTAATTCCAGTTTATTGTGACCCCACCTCCACCTGTATCATTACAGGTGGAGGTGGGGTTTGGCTGTTTTCCACAGGGTGGTTTATGGGACTCCTGCACGGTCGGCACTGCAAAGCAGACTGAAACCTCTGGGGCTGAAAACTGAAGCTTTCTAGCATCCAGGACACAAAGACACACAGGAAACAGTCCACAGGTGGAAGATGTTAAAATCAAGCGGTGTCCTGACCCAGAGGGTCTAAACATAAGGCCCAGGGACCGTCAAAGGGTCCAATCCAGCCGATTGAAAGGCGAAAAGGACGTAAATTTGAGGCTGTTTTCACCAGTTTTACAGCCTGAATAGAAAAAAAATCACCTGTTGCTGACATACAGCCAAATAAACGTTAAATAACAGAACAGTTTAGGTTTTTCATTGTGGAGGTTTCTATTTATTTTATTTTTTTCATTCGGGATTCTACTGTGAAGGAAAAGCAGGACTGAAAACGTCTTCTTTTAAGTTCCAGGGTAACGTGTGTCTGTAAGTCTGAGCTGTGCTGACGGCGTTCTGACTGCTTTACACTAAACAAAGGAAACAGGTTTGAGCCTGCGTCATGGTAATAGCATGTAAATATCCAGATTCTTGACTCTTTTCAGTTTGGGTGGAGGTTGTAGCTTAGATCGTCCCACTGGTGATGTCAGGAAGTGAAGTGGTGGAGATGCAGATGTGGCGAGTTTGTACGTAGCAACACTGTATTTGTCCGTCCGTCCTGCAGCTCCAGATGCTCTGTTTGTCCCTGTGTTCATGCCCAAGAAGGACCAGGGAGTATTTGTGTTGGCTTCTCTGTAACGGGGGATTAAACTCATATGGATGCAAAGCACAGCAGAGTGGGCGAGCAGAGAGAGAGTGCATGGCTCGACGTGGATATATGGGGCTGTAAAAGCTCTCCCAGCATACATTCCAGTACACAGCGTGCCAGCTTGTTGCAGAGCTCAAGGTCAAACGCACATAACTTGGAGTGTTTCATAAGAGAGAGAGATGGAGGGAGGCGAACTGTCTGCCTCTCAGTATTGCATGAATTAATTGATCCTACAGGGAATGATGGGCTGTGAATCCCAAAGCGGAGTGTGTTTTAATTGGTCCTGTGGTGCGCTGAAGTGTGTGTTTAGGAAGGAAGGAGCGGTGGTATCGAACATGCTGCAGTCGCTATCGACAAGGTCTATGTGGAGCCCTCAGTGTGTGTGTTTGTACTTGTTTTGCTACATTAAGGGGACAGAGTGTTCACAGGGCTTTTGTGGGGACTTTCCTTTCTTTTGGGGACACAAAGCATCAATCGATTGATCAGATGTTACCTTTGATTGTTAGTTTGGCTTCCAACAGTTACAGTTGGGTTCACAAGTTTTTGGATTATGCTAGCTTGAGTAGGGCTTTGCTTAAGTCTACCCTTGAGTTAATCTTATCCGGTCGTTAAGTGATGACGCGACGAATCCTACTTCCGGGCCTAAAGTAGTCTGCGTTTAATATGGCTTTTGTGTTGTTAACATGTTTAATGTTTTGTACTTTCTTCTATTTAATCTCAAAAAGCTCTAAAACAGTCAGTGATCACTGTTGACCTCCCTCGGCTTTTATTACCGCTAATCATTTATTTAAGCTCAGTTTTTAAAACCTTAGGATGTAACTACAGCCCAGCCCATGCAGCAGTATATGAATGACTAACCTCGTATTGTGGATGGATTATCTCAGTTGTTCTCCTGGCTGAAGTTTGGTCCTTTTACAGCATCCTGCCATGCAACTACATTTGTTCCTGACCACACAGAACACTCACGTTAACTTTTATCGAGTGGAAAAAAAGTTAGCTTGTTTATATTATGCTAACATAGCTGTGCCGCTAGCGGTCACATAGCACATCATTATATACCAGCTAGCCCAACTTCAGTAACCCTACAAACGTCACTGCTGTTTAGTTTTCTGTCTTCATTTATGCTGGAAGTGATAACAGAGCTGTACGTTTGAATTTGTTTCCCAAACCCCGCAGTCAGGACATGCTAAATTGTATTTAGATAGAAGCTAGCGAGCTAACTCCCTGCTAACTTCTAACTCCGTTAAATGTCATAAATTCCGTTTTCATGGATGCCTGGATGTTAAACTCAATTGTTACACCTGGTAGAGCAGAACGCTGATCATTTTATTAAAGATGAAAGACTTTAGATAGTTTTTCAACTCTCAGTAATGCCATAGTGACCGTTTGATATATGGACCTGCAGCGGAGTTTAGGCCCAGACACGGCTAGTGACGTCAGACTTAACGACCGGATAGTGAATTCAGTTTTACGTTTTGTTTTTTTTTTAGATTGAGATTAAACGTACTAAAGAACTTGGTTGGGAGGATTATTCATGTGGAAAGATTACTGGGTGTGAAACATGCTGCTGGTATTTACTACCTCAGTGCATATTCTCTGTTTCTAAACAGTGGACGGACAGTGAAGTGTTATCAGTGAAGATTAAGAATAATCCAGGATGAGCATCATGTGATGAGCTGTTGCACCGTGGATGGATGCAGATATATTCGTGCTCTGCTGTCCTGTAAAATGCAGTGTTTCCAGATTATGGCCCATCTTTGTTTTCACTTGTAATTTGTTGCGATCTGCTCAGCCTACCGTTTAGCGATGCAGTTTGTTTATGGCTACATTTAGTTGTCCGGCCTTTGAAGGTGGCCTGCTGCACAGGTTCTTCACCGAGTGTGAGAAATGCATTAAGGGAGATTTAGAAAACCATCTTCCCTTTCAGGCTGCAGGGTCTGACTGTGAGTCAGTGTGAAGTGCTCCTAAATGACAAAACGAAGGCTGCGTGCTGTGAGTGCGTCCATGACTCGCTGCTCCTCAGGAGGGCAGTAAAAGCCGCCCTCAGCAGCTGTGATTTCACAGCCCTTATAAACTCCCCTCCCTCCCTCCGTCGCTGCTCCACCTTTTCTAATAGCACTGTGCGTATTTGAAGCCTGGATTAAGCCCAAAAGCAAACTTTAACTTCCCCTCCTTTCCCCTGTCATTTCTTTTATCTCCCCTGAACACTCTCACCTCCTCTCTCTCCTTTTCAAACGCTGGCATTGTTGCTGCCACTGACAGATGAGTGCAAGGAAATGAAGTTGTCTAATTGATGAACTCCTTAAATAAATAGCATCATTTAGTAAAGCTCTAATCGCAGCGGTTCTCTAGCCGTGACAGACATCCAGATCTTCAGCCAGACCACGTCTGCATCGCGCTGCTGACATTTTACATCCTCTAACCCAGATTAGACGCAGCTGAAAAGTCACACTAAATCAAAACCCTAACGAGCATATAGCAGCTTTTCCCGGCCAAGGTTGTATTTAGCTTATTGCCAGGTCTCTGACTGCACTGACACATTGCTTTTAGAGCTGGCAGGACTCGGGTTAAAAGCAGAGCTTTCTCGCTCGGGCTGTCGTCTTTCTTTGACCACGCGGTCGCTTTCTGTCTCGATTTAGCTGCTAAACCATCCAAACTAAGAGGAGGGAACAAAAGCAAACAAGTATCCAGGGAATGATGAACAACAGTTAGTGCGGTGTGCAAGGTCTCTCCAGAATACAGAGTTTAAGTAGAGCGCAGAGGAGAGGCTCGCCTAAAGAAGCTGCAGCAAAAGGTCGATACTCTGCAGACGGGCGTGCGCAGGAGGAATCAAAGCGTGCAGTAAACGCTCTACTGTACTTTACTGCTGCAGAGTAGACTGACAGAACTGGGTCCTCTGTGCTCACCGGGCTGAGTTTATGTGCTTTTGTCACTCTCGTGGCTGTTGTGCAGAAAGCTGCTAATGTGACTAAGAGCACTCACAGAGCAGCGTTTAAAGTGCACTAATGGGCTTTTTTCTCCTTTTTATGAGTGTGATCAGAAAGTCCTGATGCTGATTTGATCAGATCACCTCCTCGTGCACCTCTGGACCGGTCTCGGCACTGCTGCCATCTTTAATTTGTCCCGATGGTCCCTGCACTTGTCGGCGTGGGGATCCACGGTAACGCCCTGAGACACCGGAGGGATGTTCAGAGGAGATGGATCTGAAGTTCAGCGCGTGCCTTCTCATAGCGGTTCAAAGCACCGTGAGCACTCAGGAGGCCTTATGGACGCGCAAACACAAACTTTGTGTACCGTGTGAGTGATGTCAGAGTAGCAGCCGTGCTTCAGAGGGGCCAGAGGGGCGTGGCATGATGAGAGCGTCCAAACTTAAATCGTGGGAGGAGTTTCACCTGTACGAGTTTAAACATGGCCAGGGTTTCTAATAATGAGATGAGCATATGCTCAGCAATCAAAAACACACTGCGTGATGTCACCGTGAGGGTACGGCTGGCATACCGGGACAGCCAATCAGAAGAGAGTTGTCTTTAAAGAAGGAGCTAAGGCTGCTTGTTTCAGAGGGGCTGTGCTGAGGATCAGTGTGAGATACAGAAGGATTATTATGACCTGTGGATCATGCAAAGCTGCTGTAGGAGAGCACGTGATACCTTGTCACGATCTATTTAGGCTAATCATGCTGGAAGCAGAGTGCACCAAAGGTTTTACCTGACTGAAGCTGTGCTGGAGGCGTTCATGTTTCATGAGCACCTGAGAGTCCGGAGAGGCAGGAATACCACAGTCGTCATAGTGCCACCTGCTGGGAACAGCTGCTTTATGAGTTCACCCTAAATTGTGTTAAAGCGTGACTACAGCCTCGCTCCAGCTTTATTTAAAAATCAGCCTCCAGCATCCGGCTCCGGTTGTTTGTACCCGACAGGCGGATTAAAGGATTTGGCTTTTTTTAAAGGTATTATTTTTCTTTTGTTTCTGTTTGGTGTGTTTGGTTTTTCTGTAAATGGGTAGGTCAATACCAGTTTGGCGCTCCGGTGAGTATTGGTGGCAGCAGAACAGCGTGTGTGGATTTGGCTCAAAATAAACTACAGCGAGCTTATGTTAACAAAGGAGCGTGTAGCCCAGTGCAACAGAATGACTCACTGATGGGTTTTCAATAGTTTAGACAACAACAGGGCTCCATGGCACGGAGGAGTGAGGCGTATCGCAGCTCTGCTACACAGAAAATCACCGCTGATGGTTCTGCTCTGCTCCTCAAAACTCCTGACACCATTAAACGCAGATTCAAAGAACCTGAAGTTGGTTTTGTTTGCTGGAAGTACAAGCAACCACTGTGATGTCATCCACACCAACAATAGCATGTTTGAGGTTTCACTGCCAGAGATACGTGCTAATATGAGCTGACACTTCATGGATGGTACAGGTAAACTCACAGCAGCCGCATTATTGATCCGAATGGTCAGATGGTGACAAAGATAAGAAGAAGAGAAACACGTGATGGACACAGGAAGTAAACAGACTGGTGTGCACAGAGGGTCAGTTAGCAATCGAGACATAGGTGGGAACAATAAAGGTGAGTCAGGCGGTCGGGGGAAAAGAAGAAAGAACTCAAACACAAATGACTAACTGTAAGTAAAAAGGAGGGCAGCATAAAACAAAAGTCCAACCAACATCCAATGGCAACCGACAGCCGCCTGTGTCGCCATGCAGCTGTCAGTCAAAGAGGCCACGCCGCTAATAATGCAAGATTTAAGCCTTAAACAGCTGTTGTGAAAGAGGAAATGATCTAAGAGTCCAAAGAGTTTGTGCATCAGGCTGTAAACATGTTTGTTTCTGCTCTAAAGTTTTAACATGAGTCTGTGGGGACCGACTCCCTGCTGCCCCTTCTGGACACTAGAGGGACTGCAGGTTTCGAGGTCAATCCTTATTATTTTTACTGATTTCTTATTAATTTTTTTACTACAAATGATTTTGAAACACATTCATCTTCTTTAAACATGCAGAACACAGCTGTGTGACCATCGCTGCGGATGTCACAGACCCCGCCCCCTGTGTGTCTGCAGCATGTTTGCGCTCGATTTGACCGTGGCCCTGTGCTTCTGTGTTTGTGTGTCCTTTGTGTATGTACAGCGTGCTGTGGGAGCCCATGGGGGACGGCAAGCGCATGATTTCATTGGCTGATAACCATGCGCTGCTCTGGGACCTGCAGGAGAGCTCCACACAGGCCACGGTGAGGAAACTGTAAACCAGAGGCACGCACGCCGTATCGCACAATAGCTAACTCATTATTTGATAACTGCCATATCGTCCTGGTGTTATCAGACGCACACATCCTCCCTGTGTGCGACAACAGCGCAGCGTCCACTATTCATCCTGCCACTCACACACACACACACACACACACACACACACACACACACACACACACACACACACACACACACACACACGCTGTGGCTGCTTTAATATTATTCTGGTCAAGCTGCTCCTGCTGTGACAGTAATAGTCTTGTTTAATACATACGAGGGAAATCGCTCCATCTCCTTTCACAGTTCACTGAAGTAGAGCTGCTGCAGTTATACATTAAGTTTCACTTACAGGCGCTGCAGTACACAACCTGATGTATGTGTGAGGAACATTACACACCACGCGTGAAGCCCAGCGTCTCTCGAAGCGCGCGCGGACGCCGCTCTGCTGCTTCAGTAAGACCGACTTTCGTTAATGACGCTTTAGTTAACAGACGATGAAATCAGAATTGTTGCATAAACTTTATCCCCTCGTTTATTCATTTACCCACCGCGGTCGCGGTTCAAGCGCCTGTTTTTCTGTAACGTCCTGCAGCTCTGAAACCTTCATAAGAGAATCCACTCAGGGTGGATGTGAAACTGAGGATCAGGACTTCTCCACAGCTGGTAATCCAAACCAGACAGCAGCGGATTAGTGACCGGCCTCGTGCTCTGGGTGGATCGTCTCACACCTTCTCCTGGATCCATTTTTGGCGTCTTCTTCCTGCCCTGTGATGGCGTCTGTCTCTGCACTGTGATGCACTGCAGTGACCGTTAGCTCGTGCAAGTTAGAGGTTAGAGGCCTGCACAGGCCGGTCTGCGGTCTCATATACAGTTTACTCAGATATTTATTCCATGCCTCAGATAATCCGTCATTCTGACACTTAGAACTTTGACCTGAAGTCCGTGAACTCATCAGAGAAGCGTTTACAGTGAGGAGAGCCTGCAGAGGTGGACGAGCTGCCGATGCTCACAGTCAGACTGGCTATATTGGAGAAAACATGATGAAGGAAGTCCTCAGAGAAGATTCACAGATGTAGTGAAGCACGAGGGGCAGAGTTAAGAGCTCTGTGAAGGAGAGAAGTCCTGGACTCTTCTGGTTCTACCAGTGCAAACTGGGAGAACCCACTTCAGACCAGGATCCCCTGTTACGCTGCAGACGCCTCACACTCGAGACTTTCACTGCAGTAAAAATAAAGCGTCGAGTGTGTGGCTGAATTGTGCGTGGACCTTCCTAATGCAGGGTGAAGAGGCTCTTCACTGTAAGCTCTCAGTCTTCCAACCCGCCAGCTTTGCCCTCAAAAGGCCCATTATGTGTTTAAAGCCTGGAAATAATGGCGTGCGTCGGGCGCGAGCGGAAGAAGTAATAGAGCGGCGGCGTGGGTCGGCCCCGGCTTTCATGAGTGTGTTGTTCCATCCGGAGCGATGATTCTAGATGAGTCATTAGTGATTCATGCACTCGTTTAGTGATTCACATAAAGGCCAACCAGGTCACACACACCTGTACGTGTTTTTGTGTGTGTGTGTGTGTGTGTGTGTGTGTGTGTGTGTGTGTGTGTGTGTGTGTGTGTGTGGTCATTCACGAGCTGCACTGTTGGAGAAGTCGTTCCAGGGTTTATCAGTCGAGCTGCGTTCACCAGCAACACCTGACCAATCAGACACAGGGACAGGTCTCCGGGCAGAGGAGCAACAGGTCATCTTCAGCATGAGTTTCTGCCCTGTGATTGGCTGATTAGATGTTTGAGTTGATGAGAAGCTGAGCAGGTGTACCTAATAAAGTGGCAGGTGAGTGTGTTTGATTTGACGGGACAGTCAGTTCACGTCATTATCATGGGCGTGTGTGTGTGTGTGTGTGGGGTGTAGCTCAGGTGGCAGAGAAGATCAGCCACTAACCAGAAGGTCGGTGGTTCTGCTCCAGTCTGCATGCCAAACATCCTTGGGCAAGATACTAACCCCATGTTGCTCTCCGATGCATCCATCGGAGTGTGAATGTGTATGAATGTTAGATACTCAGCACTTAAAGCACACAAGAAGTGCTTGTGGGATGAATGGGTGTGATTGGCTGCAGCTGCAGCGTCCATCTCCAGGGCCTGATTGGGTGAATGAATTAGTTGTATAAAGTTTGGTGCTCAGATAGAGTAGAAAAGCGCTATATAAGAACCAGTCCATTTACCATCAGGTTAGAAATGCTTCAAATCATCCTCACCGATTACCGATGGCCTCCACAGACACGTCGCAGGAGGACCTGCAGACTCCTGCAGGATGCTGTCCCGGGGGGAAGTTCGTATCTGCAGGCTACCTCAGTTTCCCAGGTCTGGAGGTCAAGACCAGGTCAAGTCAATGTTTAATGCTCTATAAGTGGAAGATGCTCCCTGTACATCAAAAATGAAGGGCGGCACATATTCCACACGTTCAGCGTAGAGTTTGCATCTTTGTGTTTCACAGACAGGAAGTTTCAACAGTCGGAAAACACGGAACACCACGACCTAGAGGGAGGACACGGCAGAGGTCAAGGAGACAACTGAGGTGTTCATAAGATGATGATAATGAGAGGCAGACGGGAGGATACAGAGCAGGAACAAGGAAGTAATCTCAAAGCACAAGAGACCAAAGACTATCAAAATAAAACAGGAAGTTAACTACACATACATTTACAACCCGACACAACTAAACGGAGGAGGAAGGGAACACTAAAGGGAACACTAAAGGAAACTAATCCACCTAAAGTCACCTGAAACTGAAGTAGAGACACAATAATCAAATATGGAACCAGCGATCGGGAAAGAAGCCCGATGAGGAGAGAGGGATTCCTTTGGTGCCTGTCTGTCACATGGTGGCGTGTTCATCTCCAGCATGTCCAGCTGCAGCGTCCATGTCTGTCTCTAGGGCCTGTGCTAGATTACTGTGTGTGTGTGTGTGTGTGTGTGTGTGTGTGTGTGTGTGTGTGTGTGTGTGTGTGTGTGTGTGTGTGTGTGTGTGTGGCGCTCATCAATTAGCCCGGCTGGTGGGACTGAGTGAAAACATCTTGGCTGACTCACACACACCTTGTCCTGCACATCTGCTCCACAAACGCACACTAATGCTCTCTCGGCGTGCAGAGGAGGCACGGCTGCGCGCCGCTTTGACAGATAGCTCTGCATTAGTGCCGCTTGCGTCCTAAATGAATGCGTCCCCCAGTGTTGTGTGTGCTGCCTTGTTAGGGCCCCTAATTTGGTTAGTGTGCTAATAAAGCTGGGAACCTGGGATGCACGGCGCCCCGGCTGTGCTGCTGGACGGGTTTCCAGAGTCTTGAGTTGGGGAGCGCGTCTGCTCTTTGAAGAGCTCAGAGTCTGTCTGCACATTTGGGAGAGGAATCGCTTCGCAGGAAGAAGGAGACTTTATTTCATGCTTGTTTAAAGAGCGCTGGCAACACGTCCTCCGACGCTACGTTGTTGTGAAAGCCAAGCGCTAAAAAAGCTACGTGGAACGCTGTGTTTGTGCTGCTGGAGCCTTTCGGAGCGTTTGTGGTGACATCATCTGACCAGTAATATGGCTGCTGTGAGGTCACTGTACTAACAGACCCTCCCAGAGGCTGTGCTCCAGTTTGAGTGATTTTATGTGGATCTTATTGATTAGCAGGTGTCTGTGTGATACAGCTGGATATACACCCATCACTTTATCAGCACATCCCACAGATGCTCCACTGGAGACCAAGTCAACGCCTGAAACTATTCCTGAAACATTTCTGCTTTATGGCAGAGTGTCATCAGGGAGCATCGTGTCCGTGTGCGGGCGTACATGGTCTGCAGGTACACTTAGGTATTTGCTACATGTCAAACATCCACATGGACGGAAGGACCCAGAGTTTCCCAGGAGAACATCAACCAAAGCATCACACTGCCCCCGTCGGCTCGCCTTCTTCCCATAGTGCATCCTGGTGACAGGTGTTCTCCAGGTAAGTGTGTCCTGACACCTGTCCATCAGAACCAGCATGAACCTTTTCAGCTCGTCTGCACATGCGCCAGCCTCGGCTCCCCGCGGCCGTGACTCGCCGCCGTTCTTTCCTTGGACCTTTGGACCGTCTTTGATGGATGCTGAGCCCTGCCGACCGGGAACGCCCACACAGCCAAATCCTCACGACACCTCACGTTGCTTCAGACATAAACTCTGAGGACAAAATGTTCACCTGCTCTGTGACGGGTCCCGCCCACTGACAGGTGAGGCGATGATCAGTGTTGTCGGTCAAAATGCTAACGTTGAGCACCTACAGCATGACGTCACTGTAGGCGTGTCTGTTTTATCTGCAGTCTGTTTCCGGTGCCTCTGACATAAGGCGAGTGATGTCACGATGGCGGTGTCCAGCTTTTCCTTTTTGAGGCTGAGGATTTGGCGTGGACACGGCTGCGGCATGGACACGGCTGCGGCGTGGAAACTCTGGTTACACATGACGTGTAAATGATATTTTTCATAGACTGAGAAGCCGAGGTTTACGAGTGGACATTCATGAAATAGTCGTGGAAATATTTTTCAAGGCCGCGGAGGAAGCCGTGCTCCTCTCCTCTTTGTTCTCTTCCTCCCCTCCTCCTCAGCTCTTGTCTTTAGATTTCCTCCCTTTCTTCTCCCCTTCTGCCTACTTTGGTCTCCTTCCTTCAAACCTCCCCGCTCAGCCGGCCTTCCTCGCTCTGCCTCCCTCTGTTTGTCCTCTCTAGCTGAAATAATGAGAGTGTACCGCGGCGCTGTGCGGTGACGGGCCGATCGATGATCCTTGCTCCAACAGGCAGGGGTGGTGGAGGGGGTGAGGATAAAACCTGCAGATAGAGCAGAGAAAAATGAAGCGGTGCAGAGCTGCTGTTTGAATTGTTGGATGCATCGCAGTTTAAAGGAAAGATAATCATTTCCAAAGCGGCCCGCTGAATTAATTGGATTCCATTTTTAAAGTAGCCGATGAAGTGATACGCTTTATAATTCAGAGTCCTTGAAGTATTTTGACTTTGATTCATTTCACCTTCATTGTTGCCGTGTGAAGTATGTGCAGCAGGTTTGATAAATATACGTCGCCGGCTGCAGTTTAACCTGCCGCCTTTCAGCTGAGCTCCTCTCTGCTGACATTTTGTCACTTTAATGTGTTTGTGTTAAAAACCAAAGACGGTGCAATCAATTGCAGTCTTTAAAGCCCTTTGATTTGGCTTTCAGCTATCAGTCTTAAATATTACACTGATGGGTGAGCTGCGCTATCGAGAGCAGCATTCGAGCTAATCAGCGTTACTCTGCTCATCGCCGCAGCTTTGCCCGAGCTTTGGCGTGCTCTCATCATGCCAGTGACGGTTTCTGGACGTTCAGATTCAAACCAAGCGTGTTCAGTGTTGTTGTAAGCAGAACAAACCACTGCGCGAAGACGAGGAACGCGTCTTCTGGCTGTTTTCTTCTATGATGAAAATATCCTCAAATCAAACTTGAAGTTTTGCAAATACAGAAACTCTGCGAGACTCTCGGGCTCGACCCTCTAATCCCTGCTCGACTGTGTTAATAAAAGTACTTGAGACATCCAGACAATGGATTAATCTTCTTTAAACATCTGGAAAGATCTGCTCAAATCACCCTGGCTCTGCACCAGCGCTATAAGACAGCTGTGGACTAGGTACCTGTTCCATATTAAGGTTGGGCGATATACAGTGGGGCAAAAAAGTATTTAGTCAGCCACCGATTGTGCAAGTTCCCCCACTTAAAATGATGACAGAGGTCAGTAATTTGCACCAGAGGTACACTTCAACTGTGAGAGACAGAATGTGAAAAAAAAAATCCATGAATCCACATGGTACACAGCAAAATCTCCAGTGTTAAATTAACACTGGAGAGTGTCTATATGGGTCCACACCTCTGAGTGTTAAATACAACACTGTTGAGTGTTAAATTAACACTTTTGACAGTGTTATATGTTTAAAAGTAACCTAGTCAGTTTTGAAGATTAACAATGGCTAACACTGAGCAGTGCTGATTTTCTAACACTGGAATATTTCTAACATTTTGAGTTATTTTCCAGTGTTAGAAAATCAGCACTGCTCAGTGTTAGCCATTGTTAATCTTCAAAACTGACTAGGTTACTTTTAAACATATAACACTGTCAAAAGTGTTAATTTAACACTCAACAGTGTTGTATTTAACACTCAGAGGTGTGGACCCATATAGACACTCTCCAGTGTTAATTTAACATGGAGAAATATGTGCAATGGTAGGATTTGTAAAGAATTTATTCGTAAATCAGGGTGGAAAATAAGTATTTGGTCAATAACAAAAATGCAACTCAATACTTTGTAACATAACCTTTGTTGGCAATAACAGAGGTCAAACGTTTACTATAGGTCTTTACCAGGTTTGCACACACAGTAGCTGGTATTTTGGCCCATTCCTCCATGCAGATCTTCTCGAGAGCAGTGATGTTTTGGGGCTGTCGCCGAGCAACACGGACTTTCAACTCCCGCCACAGATTTTCTATGGGGTTGAGGTCTGGAGACTGGCTAGGCCACTCCAGGACTTTCAAATGCTTCTTACGGAGCCACTCCTTTGTTGCCCGGGCGGTGTGTTTTGGATCATTGTCATGTTGGAAGACCCAGCCTCGTTTCATCTTCAAAGTTCTCACTGATGGAAGGAGGTTTTGGCTCAAAATCTCACGATACATGGCCCCATTCATTCTGTCCTTAACACGGATCAGTCGTCCTGTCCCCTTGGCAGAAAAACAGCCCCATAGCATGATGTTTCCACCCCCATGCTTCACAGTAGGTATGGTGTTCTTGGGATGCAACTCAGTATTCTTCTTCCTCCAAACATGACGAGTTGAGTTTATACCAAAAAGTTCTACTTTGGTTTCATCTGACCACATGACATTCTCCCAATCCTCTGCTGTATCATCCATGTGCTCTCTGGCAAACTTCAGACGGGCCTGGACATGCACTGGCTTCAGCAGCGGAACACGTCTGGCACTGCGGGATTTGATTCCCTGCCGTTGTAGTGTGTTACTGATGGTGACCTTTGTTACTTTGGTCCCAGCTCTCTGCAGGTCATTCACCAGGTCCCCCCGTGTGGTTCTGGGATCTTTGCTCACCGTTCTCATGATCATTTTGACCCCACGGGATGAGATCTTGCGTGGAGCCCCAGATCGAGGGAGATTATCAGTGGTCTTGTATGTCTTCCATTTTCTGATGATTGCTCCCACAGTTGATTTTTTCACACCAAGCTGCTTGCCTATTGTAGATTCACTCTTCCCAGTCTGGTGCAGGTCTACAATACTTTTCCTGGTGTCCTTCGAAAGCTCTTTGGTCTTGGCCATGGCGGAGTTTGGAGTCTGACTGTTTGAGGCTGTGGACAGGTGTCTTTTATACAGATGATGAGTTCAAACAGGTGCCATTCATACAGGTAACGAGTGGGGGACAGAAAAGCTTCTTACAGAAGACGTTACAGGTCTGTGAGAGCCAGAGATTTTCCTTGTTTGAGGTGACCAAATACTTATTTTCCACCCTGATTTACGAATAAATTCTTTACAAATCCTACCATGTGGATTCATGGATTTTTTTTTTCACATTCTGTCTCTCACAGTTGAAGTGTACCTCTGGTGCAAATTACTGACCTCTGTCATCATTTTAAGTGGGGGAACTTGCACAATCAGTGGCTGACTAAATACTTTTTTGCCCCACTGTATTCACACAGGTGACTTTTTGATGGGTGGAGCAATCCTGCAGCTGCATGCAGCTCAACAAGCTGTGGAAAAGCTTTTCAGCCAGCGCACTCTGAGGAGGGTGTATGTGTTCGCAGCTGCAAGAGCGTGCTTTAAAACAGATTATTTTTTCTAATAATGTTGGTTGAAGCTAACTTACTGACGGGAAATACATAAGTCCCTCTTGCAAAACCATTCGGCGAACGGCTCAGTCTGTCATCAATGGTTGATAAATTTGTCCAACCTTACTCCATATGCAGGATGGTGGAAGAAGCTCAGACGTTTGTGTTTGGAAAGCAGGACTTTTATATTTCTGAAAGAGGTTTAAGGATGTGGACGCGACAGAACGTCACTGATGTGCATGATTCTGTTAGGACCAAAAGATTCATCATAAACTGTATCATGGCATCACTTTGACCAAGGACGATGCAGAGGAGGCGAAACAACGATGGGAGAAAGAATCAGGCTTTTCAATACTTCAATACTTTCAAACAGCTTTTAAATGCTAATTCCTGGAGCTGGAGAGAGTTTTGGAAAAGACACGTGTTTGTTATTTGACAGACGAGGTCGACATCCAACTGTTTTTGGAAAGAAGCTTTGGTGATTATCTATAACGTTTTAATATTTCTCATAATGTGTTCTTCATAAAAAGTAGAAATCTGGATCTGCGGCGTGAGGAACTTTATTGTTTCAGTGTGTTTGTTGTGCTGGGGGGCAATAATGTAAGCTCGAATCACAAAGCAACATATCAAAGCCCAGATTGACGCCTGTGGACTTCTGGAGTTTTATCACTTTTATTTTCTAGTTCTCGGTTCTTGTTTGATGTTGGTTCTCCTTCATGTCCCCGTGTCTGTCTCCACTGTTGTTTTGTCAAGGTCATATGTCTTAGTCTGGTCTCTGTGTTAGTCACTTCCTGTTTTATTTTGACAGTCCCTCTTGTGTGTGATCATGTTGGTTAGATTCTGTCCAGCTGTGTCCCCACGTGTGTCCACTCTGCCCTGATCTCCTCCTGTGCATGTGGTCTGTATCCCTCTCAGCTTCCTCTTTTTTCCAGTAAATTAAATCTGTAACTTGTTCCCGACACACGTCTCAGGACAGCGGACTTAATAACTGATGACGGGACCATGTGAAGCTAAACGAGGCTAAAAAGCCGTGCGCAGACATGCCCCCATCAAACTGCACAGCCTTTCTTTATATGCAGATACTGTGAAATGATTATTATTAGAGTCTTTAAACGAATAGTGAATCAGTGTAACGCCAACAGCACGAGTTGAGGTGTGTTTGCAGGAGTGTACACGCCGGCGTGATGCAGGCAGCTGGCGTGCCACTAATACCCCAAATATTACTACAGTTATTAGCGAGCGATTGTAGTTTTGAGAGCGGCCTGCAGAGAAAATGACTCCTAATAAAGCCTCATTATGCTGATTTAATGAACTGCTCCGCTCGACCTGTCACACACGTACAGATGAATTCTCGTCCCCGCTAACAAAGGCGCCCCCGTTCCTCCGCAGGTCTCCAGCACCGCCACCCTCGAGGGTAAAGGTCAGCTGAAGTTCACCTCCGGCAAGTGGAGCCCCCACCACAACTGCAGCCAGCTCGCCACAGCCAACGACACGGCCATACGAGGCTGGGACCTCCGTACCATGAGGTGAGCGCCGCCGCCCGAGAGATCCTTTAGGTGCTTTATTTAGGTGACGTGCAGACTTCACCTCCTTTTTCACGGCATTGATCGCTGAATCTGATGGAATAAGTCCCACAGCAGCCGCTGAGCTGAGGTGTCACTGACGGTTGGTGTTTTTTTTTTTATTCTTATTTGCCAGTCAGCGTTAATGCTCTGCTTTTTTCTTTGCATCTGATTAAAAGGAGCTGCCGTCTGTGTAAATCTGACAGAAATCAGTCGTGTACGTTAAACTCTGGGCTTACTGGTTTTACTGGGTGTTTGCATGTCATTACATGCAGACATTTGAATGCACTACACAGAGCTGTGTGTTTAATATTACTCATCATGCTGAGGGAGTTTTGTCACGACTGCCTCTCCGTGCATCAAGAAACACATGCGTGTCTTCATATTACAGCTTCAGAGCAGGTTCACATCATCTCCTCATGCTGTGAGTAGATTTTTTTCTGGTTCTGATGAAAACTTTGTGTAACCGTTGGAAACAAGCAGCGTCATAAATGCGATTAATGACTGAGTCGTTAGTCGTTATTGGATATCGAGATAAAAGGCCCTCCGAGAACACAAACCTCCACCGAGCCAGCTCGCTCGCCGGGCGGTAAAACAATAGTTATTTTCTGTGTATGCATTTTGATTCTTCTTTCATTTTAAACTGACTTTGAGATGTTTGCAGTGCAGGCCTTTGCTCTGCTCAAACCATCATATGCTTTAATGTACTTGTCATCATTTTGAGTAGGGAGCTAATTATGCTAGCAAAGCTGAAAACTGTCATACTGACGTAAGAAGCGATACATCAGGTTAGCCGAGTATCCGGAGTATCCGTCTGGATATCGTATCATAGTCGCAAACCATTTATCCCGTTTTTCATTCTGTCTGAAAACTCGACTGCTGAAAAGGTTTTGAATTAATTCTGATCGAACTCTGTAGCGGTGCTGATGGGAGTCCAATATCGATGTCACTGATTCTCGGTGGGTTCTCATTGGCGTCAGAGTCACCACCATCTCTTTATTCATGCTTAGGTGAAATGTTTGTGCATGTTGGAGATATTTCTGCTCTGTTGTGATTGGTGTTGGGGCTGTTACTCAAAGATGAAACCAGCACAGACACTTCAAAGCGGTCGTCATGGTGATTCTGCTGTAGAAACACGCCTGTCACCTGTGGATGTTCAGGTTCTGGCTGCAGGGCTGCAGTCTGCACACACTCAGCTCTTGGCTAGCTTAGCGTTAGCATAGCATATAGAAAGTAACATACAGATTAAATATATGTCACATTTGACCTCTGACCTCACTTTTTTTTTATTACACATTGTCTTTTCTTTCAAATTGAAATTGTGTTTTATCTTCAAAGAAAGTATTTCCAAGACAAAGACAATGAGTGCGTTTAATTACAAATATACTGAAATATAATATTAAACTACATATGAACTTGCATCAGGTAAGAAGGTGCCACCAGGACAAAAGCCTCCATAGAGTTTCATAAAAAAGCAAAGTAATTTATGATGAACAATTAAGAGTATTTTGTAATATTTTTGATCACTTTTAGGTAATTGTACATAAAAATAAATGTGCCTTTATTTAAAAAGAACCGTAATATTTCGAACCTTCAACTGCTGTTTAAACACTGATCGATCGTGGCCTGCGGGTCTTTATCAGATTCCAACATTATGAAATAATATTTTTTGCACAGTTACATCAGAGGCTTTGCTGATGTGATGAAGCAGTTAGAAACCTGCGACACTACAGGCAGCGGAGTGGTAACACGGCCCTCGGCTGCAGTTAATTAGCACATGGACTCTTATAATGCATAAGTCAATAAAGGACTGGCAATGAAACGAGGCTTAAGGGGAATCAGATGTTACATTGTCCACCCAAAGCCAGAACTGCTCCACGAATCAAATTCATTCACGATTAGTGAGATTAGTTGTTCTGCTGGCTCGAATTAAAGGAAAAACTGGAGTCCTGACCCACAGTGAGGAGCTCTGTTGGCTCTACAGTAACCGTTACCTGCCTGTGAGCACCTGGCCTGGAGCTGTTTATGCATTCATCAGAGATGACACTGATTAAATCACTATGCTCAGGAGCGGGTTGTAAAGTGGCTTGCAGCTTTTAGTAGTCCATCTTGAGTGGAGACGACACACCCACATGTAGTTCAGGCAGCCAATCAGAAGAAGGCTGTCTGAAAGGGGCGGAGCTAACACAGCTTGTTTCAGACAAAGGATGGAGGGATTATTATGAGCTGTGGCTGCAGCTTGTTGTCGTAGCTGTCAGCTTTGTGTCTCTAACAAAGACGAACACACAAACCTGAGCGGTCTGTGCTCGTATTTGCATCCAGGTGTGTCTGTCGGCTCTCTGCGGACGCCCGTGAATCGAGTCAAGCGCGTTCTTCTGCTCGCCAGATGATGAAGTGCGAGGCGGCTGAGCACTAATGTTCCTGTGTGACACGGAGCATGTGTACTACCACACATTAACCTTGTAACTGCAGGTTATCAGCAGCCCACCTCCCGACCTCTCACTGTGTGTGTGTGTGTGTGTGTGTGTGTGTGTGTGTGTGTGTGTGTGTGTGCGCGCGCGTGCGTGTGTGTGTGTTTCTGCAGCACTTGATGAGTGAGGTCAGCGTGTGTTTACGTGTGGGCTGTGCTGCAGGAATAATAATCACCTCGACATCGATCGCCATGATAACAGCAAAGTGCTGAAGAGACTGAGAGGGGTGCCGGGTGAAGGAGAGAGGAGGAGAGAGTGAGAATGTATTTACACGATGCGTATCACAGGGCCAGATAAGATAGTTGAATCATTGATATCGCTCCCCGTCAGCCCCATAACAAATTAAAGAGTTCCTGCACACCCCGTTTTGGCCGCTCTCCTCCCGCTGTGCTGTTTTGAAGGATGCAACAGTGCTGATTTAGCCATCGGCACAAAGGGAAGGAGGGGGCGGCGGAGCGGGGCTTGTTAGCAGAGAGCAGCCTCATCCCTGATATCGCTGTGAAAACACACCATTATAGTCTGCAGGGACACGTGCAGCCAGCAGAGGGCGCACCGTGACAGACGTTTCAAAGAAAAACAATAAAATGGTCCGATAAGGACGATCGACTTTTTCGTTGGTTTAAATAAAGTAAGATGTTTGTGCAGGAATATATCCAAGTGCTGTCAGGACTGAAAATCTGCACTTTGATTTATTTTTTCATTTTAGATATGCGGTTCATGTTTTTTTTAAAATAAGCTGAAACTTGGAAATGAGGAGCTCTTGCAGCACATTTGTTTTTTTTCTTGGATTAGGATGTATTTGTCTCCTCGTTTGATTCGTTTGGTCCAAAGTGTCTGAACCAACAGCAGGTAAAGAGATGCACAGAGGAGGTTGGGGTGGAGGCAAGAGACAACCAAACATCAAACTAACAAACCACATTTCAGTTACCGTTAAAGTCAAACCTGATCTTCTCCTCTTTGAATTTATACCTCCACCTGACTGGAGGACGACACCTGAGTGGCCTCATATTCAGAGATCCAGGAAGCTCATGACCTGTGTTTGTCCCTCCAGACCTGTGTAAATGATCCATTTATTAGATTAAACTGACAGAAAAATAATCATTAAGTATTTTAGTAGCGATCTCAGAGCAGTCCTCCGAGACTGGATGCAGGACCTGGTTACGGACTGGATGCAGGCTGGTTACGAGACTGGATGCAGGCTGCGTTACAGACCGGTTACAGACTGGATGCACGGATACCTGGTTACAGACCGGTTACAGACTGGATGCATACCAGTTACGGACTGGATGCAGGCTGATTACAGACTGGATGCATACCGGATGCAGACCTGTTACAGACCGGTTACAGACTGGATGCATACGTTACGGACTGGATGCAGGCTGGTTACAGACCGGTTACAGACTGGATGCATACCAGTTACGGACTGGATGCAGGCTGGTTACAGACCGGATACAGACTGGATGCAGGCTGGTTACAGACCAATTACAGACTGGATGCAGACGGGTTACAGACTGGATGCATACCAGTTACGGACTGGATGCAGGCTGGTTACAGACCGGATACAGACTGGATGCAGGCTGTTTACAGACTGGATGCATACCGGATGCAGACCTGTTACAGACCGGTTACAGACTGGATGCATATTGGACTGGATGCAGACTTGTTACAGACCGGTTACAGACTGGATGCATACCAGTTACGGACTGGATGCAGGCTGGTTACAGACCGGATACAGACTGGATGCAGGCTGGTTACAGACCAATTACAGACTGGATGCAGACGGGTTACAGACTGGATGCATACCAGTTACGGACTGGATGCAGGCTGGTTACAGACCGGATACAGACTGGATGCAGGCTGGTTACAGACCAAT